TTTTTTTTTTTTTTTATCATCATTATGGATGGTAATAATTCCTAGGGTGATACAGTGATATCGATCCACTTATCTAAAATATATATATATATATATATATATATATATATATATATATAATTATAAAGCTTGAGGAGCACTGCTATACTTATTTTAAGGAACAGAAAAATAGATGATGAGAAATCAACCTACGGTCATATTGCACATCAGTAGCACAGCTACAAATCAACCTGAGGTATTTCTGGCTATTTTTGCACAGGCCAGCTATCACTGAATGCTGTCTGTGTTGGCATCTGTGGTCATGTAGCCATGTGCTCGAAGTCAGGAGGTCTGAAAGTTTCCTTAAGCCTTTTACAATAAGTGATTTAAAATCTTAATCATCTGAGGCAGTTCACTCCTGCTTTTTCATGATAATGAAGCTTAGCACATGATATCACAATCATGAATTTTTGTAAAGCATACTTAGCTCTTCAGAAAAAGTGCTGGATTAAACAACCCTGCAGGCTGAATCCTTCTCTTTGAATAATGAATATAGCACAGGCAGCTGCAAGCTTCTTTAGATAGTCCCGTGAACCCTGCTAAAGCAAAGGCCAGCCTGCATGGCTGTTCAGTCTCCAGCTTCTTTATCGCTACAGCCAACAGGATTTTAATTTTATTTTTATTTTTATTTTTAATACTTTTCTCAGCTAGGAATTGCTCCTTGCCAGCCAACTAATTCCACAGGGACTATCTTAGAGTCTTTGGAAGGAAGTGCCTCTTGGTTGCTGCCTATTTCTTGTAGCTGGTCAGAATATAAGATGATTATTTCTTAGATGGAGGGGCAAAAAAAACCCCAAACATTGGGAAAAATAAAAAGATGACTTAGGGAAAAAAAATCTCAGTTTCTTTAAAAAACATTGCTCCACCACTGGAATTCTGTATCATTATTTTACTCTCATTTTACAGATGAGTTTCAAATGTTTCAAATGACAATGGGAATTTGGAGACGAAATGCTGATGGTCCATTATCAGTAATGATAGCAATGGGTGTGACTTTATTAAAGTTCTGTCAGCTCTTGGCTACAAACTACAACAGGAACTACCAGTTCAATCCCTCACTTTATCGTAGCACTTATTTCACACTCATCATGAGTGTTAAATTTCCCCTTGCTGCTGCAGGAAGGGATTTCTTCTTGCTACTGGAACCAGGTGGTACTCTAAGATCCTACATCCCACTATGGGTTTACTGCAGACTTCTATCATGCTAGTGGTATGGTTGCTGTTGTAGTACAGGCATGACCAAAAAGTCAACTGAATGTTTTTTACTCTTTATGGTGAAAAAAAAGACAACAACAACAAAAATTTGCAGTACAAACCGAAATTGTTCTATTGAACATTGTAACCTCATGCCTTTCCTTGCAACTATCTGCTGGCAATCAAGATTATTTGCCTGAATCCTTCAACAAAGCTCAAAAGTTGGCATAGATACCAGTGAGTATACTCCTCAAGCTGTTTTCTTCCAAAATACCATGATGTACATTCGTTATACAACTGAAAAGAGATGCCAAACAGAGTTTATTGGACCATATTTCCATCTCGCTGCTGTGAGCACTGTGAGTTCCCGAAGGCTCTGGCATCATAAGGACAGTGTTTTCCTAAGACAGTGACTATTTCTCATTCACCCCCCTGTGTCTGGGAGGGAAACACATCCGGACTGGTGCTGGGAGAACAAACATTGTTTGTGGCAGAGGGAACTAACATCTTGAAAATGGTAACATGAATTAAAACTCATTAAGTATCAGAACTCATTACTAAGATTTAACTGTATAATTCTCCTTGCTTTAGCGAAGCAGCTTTTTACCCTGTGCTTTTTCAGCCAAGCTCCCTTCACTGCAGATCTCCCTTAGCACTTTTCATTTCAGCTTTGCAATACCAACACTTTGCCTTCTCTCATGGCATGGTGGTTTTGTGAAGCTGATAAACATCTGCCTGAAAACCTGGTTGGCACAGCTGAACTCATTTTCAAGTGTGAACATGGGTGTGTAGAAAACAATTCGGGTTTAACAAGCCATGATGCATGAGGGCATGACAGAATATCAATCGTGATGGTGACCGAAATAAATCCGAGTGGCAGGGAGGATACAGCTCTGCTGAGACTACTGGTGTGTGACCTACCTGCACTAAGATCTTCACCCTCCAGCAGGAGAGAGCAGCACATTAACTCTATGGCTGTGCTGGCTGGCAGACAACACTGCTCTGCCTGGTACACTGGTGACATGGCTTAAAATGGAAGGGATGCCACTCAGAGGGACCTCAAGAGGCTAGAAAGGTGGGCCCGGGTGAACCGGATGAGGTTGAACATGGCAAAGTGCAGAGTTTTGCACTTGGGCCAGAGGAATCCCAGGCATCCATACGGACTGGAAGGAGCGGTCCTTGAGAGCAGCCCTGTGGAGAAGGACCTGGGGGTCTTGATAGATGAAAAGCTTAACGTGAGCCAGCAGTGTGCCCTTGCAGCTCGGAAAGCAAATGATATCCTGGGCTCCATCAGAAGAGGGGTGGCCAGCAGGGACAAGGAGGTGATTGTTCTCCTCTGCTCTGCCCTTGTGAGGCCCCATCTGGAGTGCTGTGTCCAGGTCTGGAGCCCCCAGTACAAGAAAGAGAGAGAGCTGTTGGAGAGGGTCCAGAGGAGAGCCATGAAGATATCAGGGGACTGGAGCACCTCCACTACAAAGACAGGCTGAGGGAGCTGGGCATGTTCAGCCTGGAGAAAAGAAGGCTGCGGGGTGACCTCATTGCAGCCTTTCAGTACCTAAAGGGAGCGTACCAACAGGAGGGAAGTCAACTCTTTGAAAGGGTTGATAACTGTCAGGACAAAGGGAATTGGGAAGATTTAGGTTGGATGTCAAGGGGAAGTTATTTACAGAGAGGTGCTGGAACAGCTGCCCAGAGAGGCTGTGGATGCCCCGTCCCTGGAGGTGTTCAAGGCCAGACTGGATGGGGCCCTGGGCAGCCTGGTCTGGTATTAAATGTGGAGGTTGGTGGCCCTGCATGTGGCGGGGGGGTTGGAGATTCACGATCCTTGAGGTCCCTTACAAACCTGGCCATTCTGTGATTCTGTGAAAATCTCAGCCTCTGATTATTGTGATAGTGCTATTTATGGTAGAATAAAACTACCCCATCACCCTTGCTTACACTGTTCAATTTCCTAGTTATTTTTCCTATGCTTGTAGTATATCCAATGCCTACTGAATAAAAGAAAATTATGCAGTGGACTTTCTGCAGATGCCAGGTAAGATCCATTTCTTTGGTGGGTGATTCCAAAGAGTCAATTAATTCTTTTGGGACTCAAGATATCTCATGCCCAGATCTTGTTATTTTAGCACTTACTTAGCACCTTTCCCAGCAGTGCCTTCCATCATCCTTTCTCTGTGCTAGTGACAAAGTGAAATAACTAAAAATCAGAACTATTTGTTTTCCCTCAGTGTGGGGTCTAGTAGATAACGACAGTGCTTGACTCCATCAGTTAACATTTACTACTGAGCCACAGGAACCACCCTCAGACCTTTATCCTGGTCTTCCCCAAAGCAAAAGCCCTGATCCTGATGCTACTCTTGCCTGAAAGGACTGCTGTATGCCAGCCCCCAGAATTTTGGGATTGCAGTCTAATCGTGTACAAATGCAAATACAGAATTTTCTGGAGGCTACCTATTTATTGCAGAATATCTTTTCAACAGGCCCTTCAGAAATGTTATGTTTTCATGCAGTGCTGTGAAATATACAGTAATCCATGCAGCTTCCCCTGCTGAAATGTATAGACTTTTTAAACAAACTGGGCTGCACACAAAACCCTCTGCTTTTCAAATCTAGGCACAAATTGTTGCATGAAATACTGAGGATTCTAGAGCCTGCAGGAAACAAGCAAATCCAGAAGGAAGAAAACCCCACACATACATATCTACATTTCCATGCAAGATTGATCAATTATTTTTTTTCTGTGACTTTTGAAAATGTAATAAAATGCATAAACTGTGCTTTCTACGTTTCTTTTATTTATTTCTACAGAAACAGAAGTGGTGATGTTCCTCACAGCTCCGCACTTGAAATTACTTCACTTCCTGTGCCATTACATGACAGCAGCTCATGCCTCAGCTGCTTTCCCTACTGTAGATGAGTCTATGCCCTATTCCACTCTGTACCACACGGTGCTGAGTTTGAGGAAAGGTTCACAGCCTGAGAATAATTTCAGGTCCACATACCACAGATTTAATACGCAGTCTGCAACATCAATATACATTTATTTTTATTTTCGATATGTTTTCAGAGAGCCTTTCCAAAAGGCATTTCTGCACTCAGAAGGGGTCACCACCTATCGAAGCCTGTGCACTCCATTTCCAAGGTTCAGGTCAGTTGCTTGACCACTCTTGGTGGTGCTGTGTAACACCTCTCCCCTGGTTTTTGCTTTGTGATAGATGCACAAGCTTTACAAGCTCTTTTAACAAACTTTTGTCTAGGTGAAGCTCTCAGGTTCAAGCTAACCTCTTTGTTTCTGAGTTTCAACAGACCTATGTTTTGCATTGTGTTATAAAAAACACAGGAATTGAGGAGATAGTGCTACAGCGTAGGCCAGTTCCCATGACCCTATATGTCTTCAACCAGTCATTTACAGTCCTTCTTTTTTTTTTGTGGCCTTATGGTACAAAGCAGAAATGGGGTCAGGGAAGGATCTTTGATTCTGTGAGAGCAGAAAACGGAGGGTGTTTTCTCAGGGTGCAAAGGAACCTTTCCAGCTGACAAACAGTGCGATAACACAAGTTAATATGTTGGCACCAAGACCTTTCTGACACTGGAAATAAAAGGTGATAATTTCAGTCGCTGTGAAAAGTTCATGCGGATACCTTCATCACGTGGGACGTATTATGGCGTAACCTCTAGCTGCAGACAGCGGCTGTGCCTACCCTGACTGCGACACAGAGCTCCCAATTAGCACTTAAGGAAAGAGACTTTACAGACTGCACACTCACCTCTGCTCAGCCCATCAGGTCCCCGAAGGATTCGGCATTCTTCTATCTGGCCGAACGGAGAAAACATCACCCTGATATCATTCTCATTACACTTCTTCGAAACCATTCCTATGAACAATTTTCTGTCTTCCACAGCTAGAAGATAAAAATAATGAATGAGCAAAGGCCATTTCATCTTTTTCCTGTGATCAATGCTTCATTACCACATCAAACCGAGCTCCAGTCATGTGAGTCTGGCTCTGTAACTGAAGACAAGTCCTAAGGCAAACACTTTATACTTACAACCTCCCTTCCCCCCCTCCCACCCCCACCCCAAATCTCTCATTTTTCTTTATCTCTCTGCCTTTTTTTAGTGGTGGTTGCTGTTTATATAACAGATTAATTGGCTGCCTTAGTCTTTCTGCATATGTCTCCTCATCACTGCTTCTAAGAGAAAAGCATCCTCTGTTAGAAAGAGTAAAAATATCTTTGCATAGATTTTAATTCAGATAAATTCCCTCACCTCCCTCACGTATGAAAGAAATCATGACAGGGGTGAGGGTAAAGAGGGGATTGTGCACGTAATGATACAAGCTAATGAAAAATATTCCTGAGAAATGTTTTGAGAGAGAGGCTCCTATCTTTGCTTTCAATTTCATCCAACTTAATGCATGGCACTCGAAAGGCAGACATGTAACCACTGCTGTGGAAAAGGAATGCATTAAATTTTCCTGCTTTCTTCAGAGTGACACAGTTCTCTCCCTTCCAAGGGGACACAAGGCACATTCTAGGACAGCACCTCATCAAGGGGACTGCATAGTGCTTTCCAAGAAGCAAACCCCTTGATCTGTAATGATGCTGAGTTTGCAAGAAAAAAAAAACATGAAAAAGGTGCTTTACCTGAATTACTGGTAGAGTATTACTGTCACCCAAACCAACATCAGCTAAACTGCAGTAGCAGGACTTGCTGGTCCTGTTAATCAAACCTAAATTTACAGGTCTAAAGCTGCAGACTCTCATCAAAAATGAAATAGGTCATCAAAACTTAATGCACCCTGGAAAGACTTAAAATGTTAACACACCATCCCATCTGTATTAAACCCCAAATCTAACTGCTTATTATACAGCATATACACCATTGCTTTCTTCTTCTCTTGAAATGGCATGTAAATCCAATTCACTGTTAATGAACAGACTGTCAGAGTTTGCAGGGATGCAAAGAAAGAAGGAAAGCTTTACTCCAGAGAGTCTGCAGAGCACTTACTTATTTCTATTATTGTGCAAATTATTTTTGTAATGAAGTATTTTCATTTCTGGGCCTACCAAAAAAAAAAAAAAAAAAGAATCTTCCCTTGTTCCCCTTGTCAAATGGAAGAAATTGCAGCCGAGGAAGAAGAAACTGCATCTATTTTCATAGGATTTTATTCGTGTTATACTTCAACACTTTAAATGCATTTAATAACAATAAAAAGAAGAGGTTCATGTTTATTGATCACAAGAGAGGTATTTGAAGTAATTTTTCCCTAGAATTGCTGAATTTAAAAAAGCATTTGTAGCTTTTATACAAGCGAGCATTGAGATGGTGCATTTTTCAGAATCCAAAAGACCAGTCCCTACAATCTCAGCCTCTCACTCAAGAAGCTTGCAAGAAAGTTGGTGTGAATTTAGTACTCAGGAGAAGTTTTTTCTCAGCAGATTCCTCAAGTCTCAGCATTTTCATTCACACTTTACTTTGGGGTTCCACTGTCAGGTTAACCATTCAGGAAGGGCTAACATATGAATGCACAGGATGAACCAGGTACACACAGACCAGCAGCTGAATCATGGGGCTGCAAAGAAGATATGCGGGCTTGGATCCATATGTATGTATGTCTTTCAGTGAAACTTTACACTTGATTCATAATACATAATTACTATTGATGGTGCAGATAATTATGTTGAGGATGGTGGACTTTCCATAGGGAGAGTCTTGGTACTTTACTAGTGAGAAGATGCTTATAAATTGGCTGCTTAAAATTCCTATATGCACTTGACTAATCTCTTTAAGGAAGGTCCCTGGACAGCTTGGTCTGAATTGAATTGGAAGGATTTCTCATATCATCAACTGAGTTTAGTCTGGGGAAGTCTAGGCACAAGCACTGCCTTCCATTCTGCCTTTTGGGACTTTTAATTTCTGCCTGTGTGTCTTTTAGTACCCACATAGTTAAAATTTGAATTGCTTTTAGACTTGAAGTCCAATGCAGGTCTATTCAAAGAGTGACTGGATCCCAGTGTTCTCTTAAAAGTATATTCTGTCAGAGCTGGACAAATGTCTGCAATGTGGTTGCAAAGTAAGGAGCTGAGGGTCCTGCTTGGGTGCAGAGACTCAAAATTAAGCAGATATTTTTCTCACTGCCTTACAAGGAAGTAGAAGCTGTCAGGGTGTGAAGGAGCTTTTCTTCTCTCTACCCCTTGAAAGCAAATGGGAAGGTTTTGTTTTAACAGAAACTAACTCCCCACCAGCCTCTTTCAGTATCACTAGTAAACCCATAAATACACCGTTGAACTAAAATGATTTGCAGGTTTTCAGCTTCAGGGTGATTTTACAGTAAATTAAACATCCAGCTCCTGTGTACTGTACATCTCAAAAATGCAGATTTCAGAAAGAATGCTCAGAGTACAGAAAATATATTGATATGATAACGTGCCCTGCATTTGGTGCTATTAGTCAGTGCTGATTAGCACTGAAGCTTAAGAAAATTGCTATTCACTTTTGGCCAGGGGCCCAGCATAAAAAACATTTAAAGGGACAACTGTCAGTATCAAAATGACATGTTTTCACTCCATCTCATAGAACATCTGATATTATTAGGCTGACATAGTTTTAAACTATATATTCTCACATGGAGAAAGGAATGCTTTTTTACCTGCACATGACTGGCTGTCAGGATTTGTTTCTGCATCCTTGGTCAGCCACTTCTCTCCTTTCTTCCTAAAAGGAATACTTCCCTATATTGCAGGTGTGGTGTGAGAATGAAACAGAAAAAGGATCGTAAGAAGAACGGGTCAAATGCATTCTGAGCATGTTGCCTTGCCTGTGCACATTGTATTGCACCCACAGACTGTACAGTGAGCTCAACATCAGGTCCATGCAAACCACCAAAGCATGGAGATTAGAAATGTGCTACCCACTGCTGGCTGGAGAAGAGACAGCAGTTTCTTAAGCTATTTCCCCTATCTTTACTCATCTAAAATTTCCAGTCCTAGTCTCAGCTAAAATGTGATCTGTTGGTCCAGTGTCAAAAGATCAGCTCCTCCAAAGTCTCCTCTCACAGCGAGGCAGGATGACTTGTTTCATGGGACCCTACCCCTTACCACAGACAACAGATGGGCAGTAACCTTTCAGATGACTCCTTACCCTAACATACACATTCTCAGCTCTGGCCTCAGGGAAGGAAGGAATTCTCCCACATAATGAATGGTTTCAATAATTCAAAATCTTGAAAATAAATGCAAAATTTTTTGGCAAGCATTTGACATCACCATTTTTTTTACTCTTCTCAGAGTTCTGTTTGTACCTCCTGGCTGTTTCACACCACTCTTGTGATGTGAAGTAGATCCCATTGGCCATAAGCAGAGAGTAGGATGAGACGGCTGAGTGCTCCGCACTGATGGAGCAGAAACAGTAAGAAGGTGACAGTGAACAAGGCCTGAAGTTCCAGTTACATGAAGGTGTGAAACTGCAGAGCATTCTGAGCAAATAATTATGGGGTTCACCTCTGATCCATCCAGACATACAATGAATCAGGTCAGCCATTCTACCTGAGCAGTTAGTGAGACATAAAGCAGTGCTGTATCTCGGGTGGGATTCTTCTGCAGGCTTTGAGGTGAGATTCTGAATGAAGGAATTCTGTGTGACAAATGGCAGATATCTTTTTTAAATCTAGATGACTTGCTTTCTTAACTCCATCAAGACTAGCTCTGTGGTGATTAGCAAAGGTATCTTGCTAATATGCTTGAAGAGAACTATGGTAGCCATCAGAAGCTGGAAGAAATAAAGTCTGCTTCTGTTCCTGGGACTACTATCACACCAGAGCCTCCTGCCTTCTGACAGCACTACATTCAACTTGCAGAATAATGGCAGCTTTACTCAGTTTGCTCCCTTAATGAGCATTTTGCATGAGAACACCTTCCCCATTTCAATGGTCAATGTCTGGATGAAGACGAATGATGAGTGGGGTCCCACAGGGGTCAGTGCTGGGACTGATATTCTTCAATATCTTCATCAGTGACATTGACAGTGGAGTCAGTGTCCCTCAGCAAGTTTGCTGATGACATGAAGCTGGGGGGAACAGTCAACATGCCAGAGGGAAGGGGTGCCATTCAGAGAGAACCAGACAGGCTTGAGCAGTGGACCCAGATGAACTTCATGAAGTTCAACAAATCCAAATGTGAATTCTTGCACCTGGGCCGAGGCAACCCTCACTACCAATACAAGCTGGGGGATGAAAGGATTGAGTGCAACCCTGCTGAAAAAGACCTGGGGGTAATGATGGATGGGAAGCTGGGTATGAGCCAGCAATGTTTCCTCACAGCTCAGAAAGCTAACCATATCCTGGGCTGCACCAAAAGAAGCGTGGCCAGAAAGGTGAGGGAGATGATCCTTCCCTTCTGCTTTGTGCTGTTGAGGCCTCACCTGGAGTACTGTGTCCAGATGGGGAGTCCTCAGTACAGGAGAGATATGGACGTACTGGAGTGCATCCAGAAGAGGGCCACAAAAATGATCCAAAGGATGGAACAGCTCTCATATGAGGCTAGAAGAGCTGGGGCTGCTCAGCCTGGAGAAGAGAAGGCTGTGAGGTGACCTAAGAGCAGCCTTTCAGGATCTAAAGAGGAGCTACAGGAAACAAACTCTTTAGCAGGGTCTGTGGTGACAGAACAAGAGGAAATGACTTCAGGCTTAAAGAGGGTAGATTTAGGTTGAATATAAGGAAAAAGTCTTCTACAGTGAGGGTGGTGAGGCAGTGGAACAGGCTGCCCAGAGATGTGGTTGATGCCCTGTTCCTGGAGACTTTCAAGGCGAGGCTGGATCAGGCCCTGGGCAAATTGATCTAGCTGTGGATGTACCTGTTCACTGCAGAGAAGTAGGACCAGATGACCTTTAAAAATCCCTTCCAACTAAGGAATCTGTGATTCTATGATTTCACAGTTTGCAGCTTATATTAGATCAGTTGTGCTAACTCAGGAGAATAAAGGAATAGGGCTTATTTCCTGCATGGTTCAAAAGAATTAAATCCTGTAATAATAATAGGAAATCTCTCCTAAGACTACAAAAACTTTTCTTCCATCTTAAAGACCAAAAATTTTGTCCTGAAAAATCATTTATATACCTCATGCAGTGGGAGATATACCTGTCCATGACAGAGGGTTGGAACTAGATGATCTTTAACGTCCCTTCCAACCCAAGGTATTATATATTTCTATTCTATGACTCTACAATCCCCTTATTATACATTATGAGGGCTTCAGTCAGTTAAAGAGCATGTTTTCCATCCAGAAGTTGCCTCTCTTTTGAGAAAATCATGAAATAGTTAATTATGTGCAAATGGTTATATAAAATTTTTTTTCATCCAGAAGGGAAGAGGGAAAAACAGACTTTTTATCCCTACTTGTAAGCCTGTGAAAAACCCTTGTGCACAATCTGTCAAAGTCACACCTGGATTTGGAGCTGCCTGCATTAATTATCAACTTTTCTATGTGTTAGTGCTAACATATGGCATTTAATTACTCCCTCCAAATCGGCAAAGTCGTGCCATGTAGAATTTCAAAATTATTTCTTCAAGTTTTCACTAATAAAATAAATGAAAATAAATGATCCGATCACACAACTAACTCTCCGCCTTTCTTTTCTTTTCTTTCTTTTTCCTTTTTCTTTTTCTTTTTAATGATAAATTTTGTAATTTTCCCTCAAGTGTTGAAGCACTGATCCATTTGAGACTATCCTGTCCTCAGGATATGCACCCAATAGTATTAACAGTATTCAAATGCTGATCCTAGAAACGTGTAAGTGCTTGGTAACTAGTAGTGTGTTAATGGCCACTGACATCTAAGAGTCAAGCGTGTGTGTATGTGTTTTTCTGCATTAGAGTGCAGATACTTCTTCCTTTTTGAAACATAAAAAATATCCTTAAGCAACCAAGTACTGTGAATGATTAACAGTTAAAATGAATCCATTAATAGTGGGGTCTTTGAAATCTTGAAGCCATGTTTTTTCTGGTAGGATTCCTTAACTGAAACTTTGTAGATGAACCAAGGGATACAAGGGTGGTCAGACTAGATGTAACGGGTGACGAGTACAGGACACGCTACAAATTTAATCATCTGAAAATCTTTCAGGGATGTCACATTTCCTGACAAGGAAAGCCTTTTCAGAATCCTCCAGAGTAAATAAACTAATTAGATCTAAAGGTAAGCCTTTCTCCATCAACTCTACCTGCTAAAAGCTCAGTGGAACAATTAAGCTTTGCTTCATGTGCATGAGCAGAGATGACTCAGATACATGAGCTACCATTCTCCACCTTCACTCCTGAATGCAGAGAAGGAACAGAGAAGATTGCATGGATCTATCAGCCACTGAAATCCTATCCAGAAGAAAATATATCTTCAGGTTGCTAATAAAGTCCTAATATTGCAAAAGAACCCAGGCACTTGGTAAACATGCAGAAGATGCCTGTTCTAAATTCTTCTCTCCGTTTCCATAAGGTAAACTTGGCCTTTTGTGCTAAGGTGTGGGTTAACAAATTGATCTAATAAAAACAGGAACAGCAGTGAGGAATGAGGGAGCATTTCCTTGTAGCACTCCTGGCCTTGGATAATTATTACAATCTTTGCAAGAGATTCAAGATGTGCAGGAGGCATCTTATCACCCAGAAAATTCTTCTCTTTGAAAACCTCTGTAAGCTGAATGATGGCCACCTTCTTCTCATCTATGGAAGTTGAATGGATTTATCTAGCCTTCCAGAAATGTGTGTGATCTCAGAAGAATTGCAACAAGTGTTCAACCTCTCTCGCATATCTTTCTGAAAGCTATTTGGACAAAATAATTCATTTAACCTCTTTGAAACATGAGAAACAGAACTTCACCTGTAAAATGTAGTGGGATCCCCCATTATGCAGAAACCAAAGTGTTTCAAGTATTCCTAGCTTGAACACTATGGATCATGAAAACCGAGATATCTTGGCATATCTTCTTTCTTTTCTCCTTTGAACTTACCAATCTTGTTGAAGGCTTGTACTGCTTATCACTTTGCTATTGGCAGATAATATATATCAGATGGATAGCCTGGAGCATATGACAAACATATGCCAAACAGGACTCCACATCCTCCAAGCATGCAAACTCTCACCTCCTCCATGGATCCTACTCCTACGCCCTGTCCTTTTGAGAAGCTCTGCTGCTTTTCCCATCATCATGGTGTTAGCTCACCTTCTGTTTCCTCAGGCAATAAAAAAGACGAGTTCATCTCCCCCAGAAAATGCCTACCAGACGCGTATAATGTTCTCCAGGAGTATGAATTTAAAAAGGTATTTAATTTGACAGTGATGATTGTCTTTGATTTGTTGATGTGCTTTTCTTAAAATATAGAGAAAGTCAAGAAAAAAACCCCAAAATTCCAATCCCTCATGATTTTCATGCTAGAGATAAAAAGAGGTGCAAGACAATACTCTGAAGATTAATAATACTCCCACAGTGCAGACAGGAGTATCAGGAAGATAACCTCAGTCTAACAGCAGTAGCGAGGGGCTAATTTACCCTGCTTTGTAAGGACTGCAGAGCAGGACAGGACTTGCACAATTCCCCACAGTGCTTTGCTGATATGTTCAATCTTCTTTAGGAAGGAAAATGCAGAATGAGCTAGTAATTCCTTTGGAGTTTACTTTGACCCACTGGCTCTTACATTTCTAATCTGCCAAGGTACTTGAGGTGAAATCTTTTCTTGAAAGAAGAATCCATACAAGTTATAAAGAGCTTGGTTTTCCCTAAAGGAAAATTTTGCCCACTGCAAGTGCAATAAATACCATGGAATGAGATTTTGATTCCAACAGCAACCATCTCACTTGCTAGAGTAAGGCCTGAAAAGTTTGGTCCTCCTGTCCACGCAGATGCCTTTGTCTCTTTTCTGAGCATTCAAAGAAAGCAACTAATTGCTGCTAAAACTATTTGTGGACAAGTCAAGAGAGAGAACATCACTCCCTTGCATACAGATGATGGTTCCAATCTCTCATGTTTCTGGCCAGTTTTGTTTTGAAAGTTGTCATATAGGACACCTAGCATCGTGTGAAGTTTTAATTTCTTTCCAAACTTTGTAATCCTTGGAGAAAATGGGATGCACTACAATTAGCACAAAAGAAGCCTTAAAAAAGCCTTGTGGAGAGATTTAGAGCCCAATCATAATTTACATTTGCAGGTATGTAGATCTCTAAGTGCACGGCTTCTGCCCTGATTACTAATTAATGAGGTGCAAAGATGTCTGTTGGAGGAACCAGCTCTGATTATGTGGGCCTTATGGGAAAAAGAAGCTCTTGCAATCTAAGAAGGCAGATGATATCTTTAACATGTATTTTAGAAAATTACAGGAACAAATCAAGGGGCAAAAAATACACATGTATATATTTTTAAAGAATCACACACAGTCAGGCTGCGTTACCATCCGATTATCTTATTTCCTTGAATACAAACCTGGCATGTTTAATAGATTTAGTATGCTGTCTATTTTGCATGTCATATACATCCACTTAGGCAGTAACCTAGTATTCTGAATGGATATTACTGTCATTATAGCATTCATTTTACAATCGTTGAGGGGAATAAGTAAATAGAGAGATGCAAGGTGGGTTTCCCACTTCAGAACTAAGCATATGATTAAAACCTAAATTTGGTTCAGATTCAGAACAGCATCATTCTATAAAAAGTAGCTCTAGGCAAATGTTTAAGGACCATCAGCTGCTCAACATTAGAATGGTTTTTGTTTCTTTTTTTTTATTTTTTTATTTTTTTTTTAATTTTTTTTTCCTTTTCACTATTAAAATTTCATATCCACCTCACCAATATCAGGTGCTTTTGGATCACTTCACTGCCAGAACACAAGTGAAAGAAGTTTCTAGCACGGTAGGCCACAATATACAGCAGATGAGAGGAGAAACTGCTTCTCAGAACAGTTCCTTCCTTCTTTAAAGTTAAAAGTTAAATCCTTCTTTAAATAAGATAAATGGGAGTTGAGAGCAGGTCAACATCTTTCCTGATCTGTCAGATGTAGGGAAACTGCCTCATATAATTTTCACCACACACGGAGTAAAGCAAAAACTCTCACAATGTTTTGTTTTCTTTAGTGAAAAGAGATCCACAATTATGTAAAAATAAATTAAGCACATACCATTGGACTTTTCACTATCTGCGGGTTTCATCTGAATAGGATGATGCATCTAAAAACAAAAATGAAGAAGAGTAAGGCAGGTTGGATAGTCATAAAAATCAAGAATAATGGCTTTAATGAGGGGCTAAAAGGATACATGGTCAACATTAAACACATTGCAATGGTATAAATTCAAAATAACACCATATAATAGGCTTTTAAGAAAAAAAATGGTAAAGGAGCATTTTATAACGAGGAAGATTAAAAAAAATAGATCACTGGGCCCACAGGACTCATATAAAACTTTAATTTGTTATATCTAGTTTCAGAAGACCTCTAAAGTTACAACTCTCATTACTTTATGGCATGCTTGGTTTCTATTTTACTAATTTCTTTTCTTGAGCTCAACCACTGCTGAGGCTGAGATGCAACTTGCAAGTAACTGAAGAGCTAGCAAGCATTTCAAACATACTCAGAGGAGTTTAGCTTGACAAACGAACTTTGCATGTAATTAAAAAAACCCGCGCTGATTCTTTCAGGACTGAAGAGGAAGACTTGTATCTCTTAAAATAGCTTCTTATAAATGTTAAGTATCTGTCTTACTTTTTTTTTTTTTTTTTTTTTGGTAGTGTACATTATACATTCATTCATAAAGCTTCTGTTGCAGCACAGTACAATTCTGGCTTCCATAAAAAACCTCCCATAATAAAAACCATAAAAAATCCTAACACTTCTTCCTTTTCAATCTTTTCCTCCATTTGTCTCCTTCATACTGTAAATGAAATCAACTCCCGTGTGTAGCGTGCTGTGCTGTACATTGCATGACATCCTACCTTCACACACTTCATGTGCTGTTTGTTTTGTTCTCATTGCTAAGTGATGATTCCCCCCACCTTCAATTGTTGGCAACTCCAATAGACTTTTTACCAGCAGTGTTTTCAATGACATCAACACATCAACAACAAAGTCCTCTCTGATTAGAGGTCTGTTTCTACTGGACATTGCCATGTGTGCAGTGTGATGGACTCAGGGAAATTTTGTTCTAGCCTCTCAAATACCATCAGAATGGACACTGCATTGTGTTTCAATGTGGGAGATGGTTAGGCCTGGAAAAAACCCAACTCTTACTTTCTTCCACAGGGCTCTACAGGACTGCACAAACCTTAAGGCAGTATTGGGGCTGCTGTCTTTTCTCTCTTCAGAAATTCTTCTCCATTTCACCTAAGCATGTAAAAAAATCTATGCTCCTTCTGCTTTTTAACATCCTTCAGCACAGTAAAGCTGAGCATTGCCTGACAATGTCAGTGGCAATTCCATATTTTTTATAAAAGGATACTACAACAAACCTGATGTTGGAAAACAAAAACAGCTGAGTATGAGCATCCATGCACTCATATCAAAACCACTTTCAAAGAACCACAGAAAACCACATCTGCATTGCTTTTGATGGAGTCATTTAACCTCCAGGGACATAGTTGCTGGATTCTTTAGTAAACATAAAATATTGCTGTGAATATCTCTGTAAGATTTATTCAAAATCCATAATGCTCTCTGCCCCTACAAATCAACGTATTCCTTGTGCTGCTTGCAAAACTCCCTATTGTTCCCTAAGGAAAAGGCAAAGCCACAAGGTTGATGTAGTCACCAGTATGCATAAATTTGCTTCAATTTTAACAGCTCTGCTCTCCTTGAATCATTTGTTTCCCAAATAGACTTAAATAGCCCTTCACTTGTCTGCCACCAGTCTTATTTGATCTAACTTGAAGAAAAAAGGGAACTTAGATTGTACTCTATCTTTAACTAGTGCTTAACATTTATCCTGGCATCAGCAATACACTGGGAACTGCAGGAGACCTTAAATTCATGGAATGTGATGCACTATGACCACTGAGAACACAAAAGCTGAAAGGAAAAAAGGTGCCACTTGCTGCTGTGAGCCCATTGCTCGTACGTTCCTGCAGAACCACATGAAGTTGAAGAAATCAAGGAAATAAAATGGAGTTGTTCAGATGCGTATAAGAAGATGCAGTTAAGAGCAGCAAATAAATTAAAAATGAGGTAGTCAGATATACTTCCTGATTCTGGAGGCCCAGAAGGATGTTGGACAATTTCCGGTGACCACTAGAAACTATTAGTTCACTGTAAATTTGGGAATACGAAAGCCATAGAAAAGGAATCCACTCAAATCCAGGCCTTACATAGAATCTCTCTCTCTGCATACCTGCATTTTATGCCCCTAAGTAGATATACTCCGAATAAATGGAATTTTAACAATGCTAAAAATCTTTCACTTCTCAAACCGCCTGAACTGGAGGTCTTTGGAGCAAATTCATGTACACAGGTTATTTCTGCAGTACCACGGTTACTATGCAAAGATCAGTGTTACCTGGCAAACACAGTTACCACATCAGAAATTATCCTCTTCTGTTTTGCATAATTACTTCAAGTTCATTAAATCAGTAAGCTGTTATGTTTGCAAAGAAAGAAGTAAGATTTAACAAGATGTTTCAACTGGGCATTGACTTGATTTCGGAGGTTCCTGCTGAAAACCCATGGTCCAAATTCTCACCAGTAAGCCTATGTCAAGAGGAATGCCACTGTGCTTAACAGAATTATATCAGTGCAAAACTAATAAAAGATTCAGATCAGGCCTGAAGGATTTAAACGGCAGAATACCCATGGTAAAATGGATGTGATACACAAACATGGCTTCAGTAAAGAAGGTGGAAAAATATGTTACTGACAGTTTGATAACATGAGAGGGCTCATGTTGAAGCTTGTTTAACCCTGACCATCACCAATTGATACATTAACAACCTTTAACACTAGATTCAATAAAACATGCCATTTATAACCTGAAATGGGTTTTACAGAGTCACTGGTTCGCATCTCATTATTGAACTCATTGCTGACCTCTAGAGACAAGTGCCGTGACAATACATATTATAAGCACTCTACCCGTAAAATATTTAAAAGTAGGTGTAGAAAAAAGAAAAAGGAAAAGAGAGAAAAAGAAAAAAGGAGAAGAGAAAAGGATAAAAAGGGCAGGGGAAGGGAGTGGGAGGGA